GAGATCTGGGCTCACTGCAGCCTCCGCCTCCTGGGTCCCAGTTCAAGCAATTCTCCTACCTCAGCCTCCCAAGTAGCTGGGATTACAGGCACGAGCCACCAGGCCCAGCTAATTTTTGTATTTTTTAGTAGAGACGGGGTTTCACCATGTTGGCCAGTCTGGTCTTGAACTCCTGACCTCGTGATCCACCTGCTGTTGGCCTCCTAAAGTGTTGGGATTACAGGCGTAAGCCACCGCACCCGGCATTTTAAAAGTTTTTATGAGTCTGGGTGCAGTGGCTCATGCTTATAATCCCAGCAGTTTGGGAGGCACCTAAGATCAGGAGTTTGAGACCAGCTTGGCCAACATGGTGAAACCCCGTCTCTACTAAAAATACAATACAAAATTACCCAGGAGTGGTGGCCCATGCCCGTAATCCCAGCTACTCAGGAGGCTGAGGCAGGAGAATGGCTTGAACCCAGGAGGTGGAGGTTGCAGTGAGCCAAGATCACGCTACTACACTCCAGCTTGGGCGACAGAGCGAGACTCCATCTCAAAAAAAAAAAAAAGTTTTAACAATGAATGATTTCTGATGACATAGCAGGTGAAGTGGAAACTTCCAGTAAGGAACGGGGAATGTTTTGGAGTGAAGGGCTGGTTTATGCAAATACTGCAAAATCTCGGTGATGACCGAATTTGGTCATTATGCTATTCCCTCTGCTTTTGTGTGCATTAATATTTCTTTTTTTTTTTTTGAGACAGAGTCTTGTTCTGTCACCCAGGCTGGAGTGCAGTGGCGTAATCTCAGCTCACTGCAACCTCCGCCTCCTGGGTTCAAGCGATTCTTCTGCCTCGGCCTCCCAAGTAGATGGGACTACAGGTGTGTGCCACCACACCTGGCTAATTTTTGTATTTTTAGTAGAGACGAGGTTTCATAATGGCCAGGATGGTCTTGATCTCTTGACCTCGTGATCTGCCCGCCTCGGCCTCCCAAAGGGCTGGGATTACAGGCATGTTGGCTCACACCTGTAATCCCAGCCCTTTGGGAGGCTGAGGCAGGTGGATCACCTAATAGAGACAGGGTTTCACCATGTTGGCCAGGCTGGTCTCGAACTCCTTACCTCAGGTGATCCACCCGCCTTGGCCTCCCAAAGTGCTAGGATTACAGGTGTGAACCACTACGCCCAGCGAGATTTGGAGTTTGAGACCAGCCTGGCCAATGTGGTGAAACCTTGTCTCTACCAAAAATACAATAATTAGCCAGGCGCCGTGGCGGGCGTCTGTAGTCCCAGCTACTCAAGAGACTCAGGCAGGAGAATCGCTTGAACCCAGGAGGTGGAGGTTGCAGTGAGCCGAGATTGGGCCATTGCACTCCAGCCTGGGCAACAAAGCAAGACTCTGTCTCAGAAAAAAAGAAAAAGTTAAGGGGGTAGAAGTTTCACAGAAGGCTCTCTTTGGTGCTTTACAAAGATCCTCGGGGTATGCTTAGGAGGTTTCATATTCCCATTTTACTCAGGGAATTGTAGCTCAGAAAAGAGACAGACTTTGCACAAGGCACACAGGTCACAGGGAGTGCAGCTGGTCCACTTCCTCCTTGATAGTGGAATTTTTTTATTATTTTTTTTTTTTTGAGACAGAGTCTCACTCTTGTTGCCCACGCTGCAGTGCAGTGGTGCGATCTCAGCTCACCGCACCTCCACCTCCCAGGTTCAAGCGATTCTCCTGCCTCAGCCTCCACAGTAGCTGGGATTATAGGCGTGGGCCATCACGCCCGGCTAATTTTGTATTTTTTAGTAGAGATGGGGTTTCTCTATGTTGGTCAGGCTGTTCTCGAAGTCCTGACTTCACGTGATCCACCTGCCTCGGCCTCCCAAAGTACTGGGATTATAAGCATGAGCCACCGTGCCAGGGTTTGGTAGCTAAATTGAATGCTCAGAGACTGCCTCCCTTCTTTTCTGCTCCTTTAACTCTGGCATTGTTTATTAGCTTTCTGAAATCATCTGCAGTTCTTAGCTCTCTTGTGGAACTTCCAGGCTGACCTCCAGGGTCACTCAGGGTGAGGGCCACTGACCCTGAACAAGGTCTTTGGTTCTGTGGGCTGACACCAGGACTGGACTGCAGCCTCACCCCAGACCACACCGATTCCACACGTGCCTCCCTCACCCTTGTCCACATTTATCCATCAGCATCCTGCCTGGAAGTCCTCTCCTGGGCCCCCACCCCCTCAGGGAATGTTCATCTGCATTCTTCCTGAGCCAGGGCAGAGCCGAGCCTCCCTGAAGTGTGAGCATGATGCTGACTGCAGGCTCTGATTCTTTTCCCAGTGCCAGGTGGAGCTCAACAGGAGAGTCCTAGCGGATCTGGCCATCTACGAACCAAAGACTTTTAAATCTTTGGCTGCCTTGGCCACCAGGAGGCGACAAGAAGGCTTTGCTGCCGCTTTGGGGGATGGGAAGGAGCCCGAAGGCATTTTTTCACGAGTGGTGCAGTACCACTGAGGATTGCTGTATTCATCAGGAAAAGACAGAGTCATTTGCAGTTGCTTTGATTTGTACTTGTGTTTATCCCCTACATTCTAGTAACAGCCATGAGGGGCCCCTCCTCTCTGGGGCAGAGCCTCACAGATGACTTCTGTGTTTCGTGTGAGTGAAACTCAAACACTGTTCAGTTTTTAGAGCCATTTTCCTGTATCAAGCGAACACTCCATGGAGCTCGCCTCGCGTCAGGGCTGCTGCAGGCACCTGGTTGTGGGATGCAGCTGAGCTCTGCACACTGGGAGGTCTACTCCAGGCTCCCCTCAAGGGCTGTGTGTGCAGTGCCCGCTGGCCAGTTCCCTGAGCCCCTACCTACTCCATCCCACCCAGGACTGACCTCAGACCTCGCCCTGCCCCATCCCCCCAGGCTCATGTCCAGCAGAGCCCTGTGGCTCAGCTATGCCACCACTCAGAACACCAGCCTCAGCTTCCTTAGGTGCTCCGCGTTCAGCAGCCCAGCAGGGATTGGGGGAAATGCCCCCACATCAGGTGGGTGGTGGCCTGGTCCCCTGCAGGTTGGACTGACTTTTTAGCTATCTCCAGGAAGCAAGACCCAACAGACAACTGTCCATTAACCCCAAGGCTGATGTATGTCTCCCCTGGTCTTTCTGCCTGAGGAAGGCTCTTGAGACCCAGGTTACCCACTGCTGTCTGCCTGCTGATGCCCGCTTCATTTACACAGCAGTGCACACACCCCGCCCCAACCTGCTTGTTTTGCTGACCTGCCGTAGGAGCACCTAAAGTGAGTGCCCATTTCCCCACCAAAGGCAGCCAGCTTGCATCCTGTGGGGATGTGCCCTTCACCCTTGGCCAGCAGTTGCTGGGCAGTCTCTCTGGGCCTTTTTCTTAGACTCACCACCCACTTCCAGCCTGCACAGAGAAACAAAGTCCTGGCCACTTGCTAGAGATGGCTTCAGGCCGACCACTCCATTCTCAATGCAGGCGTCATCCTTTCTGGCTTCCATCACTGCATGGCTAAGAGGTCCCCCTCCTGGCCCGTCACTGTGCTTGATGACAGCCACCACACCTGAAGCCTCTGGACACTGGGGACCAAGTCTCATTCGGCATCCTTTCCCCTGCATGAGTGCAGCGTCTGGCCGTGTGCACGGGGCGTTAAATGCCTGTCAGCCCTTGGAAGATGGCTCCTGTACAACAGGTGGAGGACAGAGCTTTGGGCGGCCACATTCTGTGCACACTGCTGCACTGTGGCAAAGCTGCCTGTGCTGCATCCCATCTCAATAAAGGAATACACAGATGTCACAGACTACTGTGGGCTGCTCCCAGCATGCACTCGCTTTGTGCCAGCAGAGGCTGTGGTGCCATGGTCCTGTTCCCAGGCAGCTCCAGAGCCTGGGCCTGATTGGCTGGAGGCACCACCACCTCCCACTCTGGCAGTCACAGCTGAGGGAACCGGCATGCAGCACCGTGAGAAACCAGCTGTGTGGTGGGGCTTCCTGCGATGTGTAGCTATAACACATAAGACTGCCAGCTTGGGGAAAGAGAATGGGGTGAAGCTGTAACCATATCCTGTTGCCCATGGCAGGCGGTGAGGAGAGTGGGTCTTGGTTGTTACTGTCATGGCAGAGCTAATGGACAGCTGGGCCTGGGGGCGGGGTGAGGGGCAATGGTGGCCTCTGGATTTCAGCCCGTTTAAACTGGGCGGTCACTCAATTCTAAATCTTCTGAAAAACAAAAACAACGGTGCAGTCACTGGCAGCTCGGTGTGAACTCACACTCAAGCCTCTGCTGACCCCCACACTTCCCCGCCCAGTGCAGGCTTCCCCACCATCTTCATCCGGGGTCCTGTACTAGTCCCGGCGAATGTTCGGGGTAACTGCCCCCACAGATGCGTCCTGCATCTGCTCCTCCAGGACCGCCGCAGGTGGTGAAGGCCGTGAACCAGGACGGGCAGGGCGTGAGGTCGCCTGCGGGAGGATCAGCGATGTCACGATGCTTCACTGTCTCCCAGCCGTTTGCGGGGTTCTGTCCAAGCGCCTTCAGACGGGGCGCACCGGGCCTCGCTCCCCGGACCCCTCCGTGGGCCTGAACCTTGACGTACTTGGGCCTCCCCACGGGAAGGGCTCTGTAGGGACGTCGAGGCCGCGTTTCCAGTCATCCCCACCCATCTCTCCCCAGGAGCTGAGTTTTGAAGGCAAGACTGCGGGAGTCTGGCGTTAACAGGCATCCCCAAAGCCTGGAGTCGGGAGGGACTGGAGACACGATGCCGAGGACGGCCGGGGGCACACCGGGCACGCGCGTCTCATTCAGGGCGACGCCGAGGGGAGGCTCTGACCATGCCCCGCACCCAGGGGATAGCAGCGGGGGTCGTCCCACCCCAGACCCCACCGACATGGACCCCCGTGACCCATACGACTTCCGAGACGCGAGCTCCAGCCATCAGGGGGTCTTCGTTCGAACGTGGGCGGCTTCGAAGAAGCCCCGCCCCGCTCGGGGCGCCCGGGCAGGCGCTCTCAGCCTGGCACCCGCGCCTCCGCTCGGGGCAGACGTGCTTCCGGGTCGGCCGGCACCGCGGAGTACCCTGGGTAACGAGCCCGCCCTCAGACCTGACCCAGGTTCCGGCGACGGCGTTAGGCGCGTTACTGACGGGCAGGTGGAGTAGCCAATCGCCGCTAGGCTGCGTCACGCTGCCCTCAGGCCGAACCAATGGTATGAGACGGGGCGGGGCGATGGCAGCGGTAGAGCGTCGCGAGGAGCCGCCCTGCGGGAAGAAGTCGTAAGGGAGTCGGCAGCACAAAATGGCGGCGGCGGCGGCGGCGGCGGCTGGGGCTGCGGGGTCGGCAGCTCCTGCGGCAGCAGCCGGCGTCCCGGGCTCTGGGGGCGCAGTCCCCGGGTCGCAAGGTGTGCTGATTGGGGACCGGCTATACTCCGGGGTGCTCATCACCTTGGAAAACTGCCTCCTACCTGACGACAAGCTCCGCTTCACGCCGTCCATGTCGAGCGGCCTCGACACCGACACGGAGACCGACCTCCGCGTGGTAGGCTGCGAGCTCATCCAGGCGGCCGGCATCCTGCTCCGTCTGCCTCAGGTGAGGGTGCGGCCGCGAGCCT